TTGTATGCTCAGTTTTTACGGAGTTGACAATGGGTTTGGTTATTGTTCGTTGGAATTGCCTCGATTATTTCTTAAGGTGAGCTGTTTTTTAATTTTTTGTGCTTATTTATTTGTTATCTTTCGTGATTGAATTTTTGATTGATTTCTAGAATTGTAGGTTATATGTCAGTATCCCAGGGGGTTTTCTTTTATTCAATCTATTTGGTTTTTATATTGTATCGTGATTAGAAAAGTTTTCCAGCTTTTGTTAAATCGGTTTTGTACTTTGAAAAGAAGGGATTGGCCGTTTGTACAGTTTGTATTTTATTTTTTGTTTGTATAGGTTATTACTTTGTTTGTTTCCTCTTGTTTTCTCTTTTTTATATTTATTGGAAAGGGTATGTTGTCTGTTATCATTGGCTGTATTTTCTCCCCGTGTTAGACGTTGATTTTCTCTTTTTCTTCTCTTGTCTTTTTAGTTTGCATGCGACGAGTTCCTTAGCTCGTGTTCTTTATGTTTTCATTTTTTATATCGTCCTGTTGGGTCAATATTCAGATATCATTAGAGGATGTGATTTCTTCTTTTTTAGATTTCGAGGGACCTGCTTGGTGATCATTCTTCAGGGTCGTGGTTCCAGTTGTTTTACTCGTGTTTTTCCTTCTTGCCAGCCTCCGTGTGGTGTCTGGTTACTTGCTATTCTTATGGTGAGTGTATTTATTATTTCTATATTTTGACATTTATTCTATATACACTTCCTTTTTGTGTGTTTTGTATTTTCTTTTTATTCTTTGTATTTTTCTAGGTTTATAGGGGTCTGTAGGTGGTCTTGTAGGTCTGTGCACGACATTGGTCTTGCAGTTTTATGCTCCCGAGGTTTCTTGATCTTCTTATATGAGAGGAGTGTCGTCTAGTTTGACTTATTCAAAGGTTTGTGAGAAGGAGGATTTTCTATTCGTAGGGTTTTATGTTGTTTTCTTATCTTTCCCTGGCTTTGTTATTGTATTGTTGGTGTTTGTGTTTGTAGTTTGTTGGTCTTTTCGTGTGGTATTTCTTGTTTTTGTTTGCTATGATTTTTGCTTATTCCTAGTGTTTTCATGTGGAATGATGTGTCTCTAGTTTACTGGGAATCCTTGAAAGTTTCCGTTTTCTTCTTATCTTTTTTATTCTTTTTGCCCAGTTTCGTCTCTGTTCTACCTTATTTCCATTTGTCTCTCTTTCCGTTTGTTTTGTAGATTTCTATTAGTTTATTGATTCTTCATCTATTTTATAT